GCCCCGCAGGTGGGAGCCCTGGGAGCTCAGCATCACCCTGCACCCCGCCACGGCGCAGGACCAGGACTCCCAGTACGTCCGCTTCACCCTGGGGCTCGCTGTGCCCCCGCAGGTAGGCTGCGGCCCCGCCGCATTCCCTTGCCCCCGCCCTAGGCCTTTCGCCTTCGTTGTTGTGCTCTGGGTGTTTATCTGTTCTTTCCTAGTATCCCAATAAAGCTCCAGAAATCTCAATCAAGAACCCGCGGGGGCTGTCTGATGAGCAAATCCAAAAGTGAGTGCTGGGAGGGTGGGGAGAGGGTGATCCTTCCCTCTGGAGATCCGGGAGGCAGAACCGGTGAAAAGCCTTCTTTCAAATTCACATGCCTCCCTATGGCTGATGAACAGCTGGATACAGGTCCCTAAATCACCTTGACTTAAGTCTCATGGGAGCTGTTGGTGCTGAGTTGAACGCAAAGGGGATTGTTCCCCAGTGCTCCCCCTGAGATGTAATTTATATCTCTGTGCCCTGAAGCTATTGACAGAGATGAGACTGAGCTGAGTCCTTGGGCAGCCCATTGTTGCCTTCATGCTCCTGTCCTTGGTGCAGCGGAGTGTGTGCAGGGCCTGCCATCAGATAAAGGAAATCTGAGATGCACTAAAAACGAAAGGTGCTGGGTGAGCTCAAGCCAAGGCAGTCAGCAAATCTGCTCTTGCAAGTCCTCTGGGAACAAAGGCTTCCTGTGCACCAGCTTCTGGGGAGCCAGGACACGTGAATAAGCGTGTGCACGTGTGCCCATCCCATGCTGCAGGCAAAGCCTAAAGGCCAGTGGTCTGTTTATTCCTCCTGTCATCAAGGCAGGGTGACAGGTCCATGGGACAGTGAAAAGGTGTGGCTAAACTTGTGCTAAACATTTCTGCTGCTTTGCTGTAGGGTTTTTCAAACCCTCAGAAGCGTTGCTGAAGCCAGGCTGGGGACAGAGGTGCTGTATGAACTGATAGAGGTGAGAGCTGGGGAAGACTGGGGTGACCAGCTACAGACACTGGTCCCTGACTGCCTGAGGGCTGTGAAAGCCCTGAGCCCATGGACAGGCCAGTGGGTAAAATGTTTTCTTTAATGCTTCTGCAGAAGGGGAAGGAGATTCTTACTGACAACAACATTCCTCATGGCCAGTGTGTGATCTGCCTCTATGGATTCCAGGTATGCATGTGTTTCCTGGCCTTGCAAGCTGGCTGGGAAGCGAGGCAGGAGATTGGGAAGCCTAGGGCTCAAAGCTTGGGATATCGACCAGGGTGTGCCTCAGCAGCCCCCTGGTCTGTAGGTGAAGCTACTGAGCTTAAATGTTTCTAAGGTGATACACAGTGCTCTCCCCGTCAGCCTGAAGATAACCATGTACAGGGCATAGGGGCAGCAAGTGGTGCCAGAGTGTCTCCAAAGGAGTGGGGAGGGTCTGGGGATACTTGCTGGTGCATCTTAGCTTCCCTGTGTTGGTCAAACCTCACCTGGAGTTCAGCACACAGGCAGTCAGGAGGGACTGGAACACATCTGTGCAGGTGCTGAGGTCTGTGAGGACAAAGGAGCTTGCCTTGTCTGGGTTGCAAGGACAGGCAGTGCCTGCCTAGGAAGAACACATTGAGTGGGAAGATTGCTGCTTACACAGGAATACATGCAGATAAATGAGTCACAAAAACCTTGCACCTTGACATTAGGAGTGTTTCTCACACTCGGAACAGGAGGCAGTGTCATAGCAGGACCTGAAGAAGTAGAGATGAAACCCAGGAGATGATGTTATGTAGCTCTGTTAGCCATAGCACTAGTTTCCCACTGCCAACACTGACATGGGAGTGAAAAACTCCCTCAGCTGGGGAGGCTACACAGCCCTATGCTCAGAAACCCCTTAAAACTGCCTTTGTTCTCTACAGGAGAGAGAAGCCTTCACAAAGACCCAGTGCTACCACTATTTCCACTCCCACTGCCTGGCCCGCTATGCCCAGCACATGGAGGAAGAGATCCTTATGCAGCAGGAAGAGAGAGAGCAGCACCTGGCACTATCCCCCAAACAGGTACCAGGCCCTCATGACATCTCCATCCCTCCTTCAGGACATGGAACAACCACTGCATGATCAGTGTTGTGCCCATGCTGAGAATGAGAGTGGGGATTAGACCAAGTGATCTCCAAGGGCCCTTTCCAACCAAAATTACCCCTTGAGTTTTTAGTACTTTAGTAGTTGGTTTATTGAACCTCTGGGTCAGTACCTGTTGTGTGAGGGGGCAGGGGAGTTGCATTTTTGCACTTCTGGAAACAGAGGAGTTAGATAAGAGAGCTGCTTCACTAATCCTTGAATTGCAAGGGTTCGCAGAAGGATAAACATGATTACCTGCGTTTTGGGGTGACAAAACCTGCCTGAGCAGGTATTGGAACAGTTGTCAGCCACAGAGCGAACAGTCAGCTGAGCATGAAACAAGTTAAAGACTGCTTCCTGCAAAACCCTTTCAAAGAGGTGCTGCCTAGATGACACGCTCCACTTTGGAGTGGAGAAAAATAGATCCTAGCCTAAGGAGGGCTGAAGCCATCCATGCTGACAGAGGTGGTTTGTACAGCAATCAGCTGCTGGAGCACAACTCCCAGTGTGCCTCAGGGTGGAGGCATCTTTCTTAGCAGTTTTTGGGACACCAGGCTGCTTTCATGCTGCTGGAACCCCCTGGGCTTCCCTGCCCTGACAGAAGAGTGAAGAAGGCCACCCTGTCCTACTGCCAGGCTGGGGCTTTTGGGCAGTGCTTGAGCTGGGTCATGGCCAGGGTTTGGTATCACCTCTTGCCTCCCTGCAGGAAGTCTGTGTGCAGTGCCCTGTGTGCCGGGAGACCTTGGTCTATGACCTCAGTGCTCTGAAGGCAGCACCACCACCACAGCACCCGCTGGTAAGAGATGGGGCTCACTTGCCCACTTCAGCAGAGGCGTTAGAATGAATGAATGAATGAATGAATGAATGAATGCATGCTCCCACGTCCTCCTAGATGGCCCATCCAAAGGGCAGTTCACAAAACCTGCCAGGGTGTCTCCTGTCTCTTAGATGTATCCACAAAGAGCAGGGTTAGTTGTATCACCCTGAGTCGAGCAGATGTGCTGGGGGAGAGGTGATTCTGCCATGGCCCTGTACTCACTGAGATATATTCAGGCTTGAAAGAGTGACCTGCTTGTAGCTGCCCTGCATCTTGTCCCACAGCAGGACACCCCAAGGCAGTCACTGCAGGAAGACTGAGTCTGCACCAGCATGCTCTACTGCTAAGGACTTCGTAGAATCCTAAAATGGTTTGGCTTGGAAGGGACCTTAGAGACCACCTCGTTCCAACCCCTCTGCCTTGGGCAGGGATACCTTCTGCTAGACCAGGTTGCTCAAAGCCGTGTCCAACCTGGCCTTTATTTCCCTAAAGACACAAAACCCCCTTAATTTGGAACCAGAGCACTTGCAAGTTATGCCAACAGCTATGCCAGTGTACGCAGATTTCGCATGCAATCAAAGGAGGGTTTGGGGAGTAGCTTTCAGCGCTGCCAGCTGCCAATCCATGCTAGGTGTTGAGAGGGCCCTTAGCCTGCCTTGCTTTCTGCCACTCAGGAGCCATACAGGCCAGATGCCAAGACACTACAGCACCAGGAAGAACTGCGCTTAATTTTCAAGAGACAGCAAGAGAAAGGGGGCATCATTGACCCTGAAGCAGAGAGGAACCGTTACTTCATCAGCCTCCAGGCGGTATGGCACTGGGACAGAGAGCTGGCAAGGGGGGTCCTGGACTGGAGGACCGAGCACTGTCCTGTGCTGTGGGACTCTCCTGTCCCTTACTTCACTGCTGGCTTCTTTCTTTCAGCCTCCAGCTGCTGTCAGTGCAGGCCAAGCAGGTGCTGCTCCTGAGCTGCAAGTGAGAGCAAGCACTGTGGATGTGCCCCAGCCACCCAGCCAAGCCTCAGCTCCAGAGCCAGCCAGGGTACCAGAGACCAGGGCAGAACCCAGGCGGCCCGAGAAGCCTGCTGAGCTCAGAGAGCAACAGTGCAAGAGGGAGAGGCACAGAGGGGAGAGGCCAGGCCCCAGAGGCCGGGGCAGGCAGTCATGCAGTGGCATGCGGGAACCAGCAGAAGCAGCAGGTCATCTGCTCCATGGTTCCAGGGGGCCCAGGAGCTTCAGCCACAGACCAGAGCGGCGACCTGGTGGGAAGCACAGCCAGGAGTTAACAAAGCCTCACAGCAGAAGCAGGGCTGCTGCCTTGGCTGAAGGCAAGGAGTTGTGCCCTGAAGGCCCCACACCAGTAACAGAGGCAGTGGACTTGAAAGAGGAGCACCGTGATGTGGAGAGGTGGACCCCAGAGGAGGGGACCGAGGCCCAGGCCAGGGAGAAGGAGAAACTGGTGTTCAACCACATCGACCAGAGAGCAGCTCCCAGCCAGCAAGGCCACCACAGGTCCTGGGATTGTGGAAGGTGGGAGAGGTCCAGAGCCCAGGAGCATGGTTCCTACCCCAGAGTGCCAAGAGGACGAGGGACACTTAGGCCCAGAGGACAACAAGAAGCCCAGCTTGAGAAGGAGAGTGGCTCCTAGCAGGAGTGGTGAGGAGCTGGGCTGGGGCAGGGGGTCTATTTCTGGGAAGAACAGTGAAGTTTCTGGTGGAGCAGTAGCAAGCAGACACTATACCCCTTGGGAGGAAGGAGGCAGTTGGCACAGCTTGGGACAGGCAGCGTCCGTATGGTACATGCAGAGTGAAGCATCTTGGCACGAGCTGTCACCAGCATTGGAGAAGCTGAATCCTGACAAATCATGACAGCCTTGGTCTTGCAGGACCCAGGAGACAGGATGCCTTGACTAGGGACCTGCAGCCATCATCCCTGTGTGTGAGCTGCCAAGAAACATGCACACCTGCAGAGCAAATTGGCTGTGCCCAGCACAGTGCCACAGCAGAGCCAGAGCTGTGGCAGGACCTCCCCTGGAAGCCAGTACCCCAGCAAAGCTGTGGTGGTGCCAAGTGATGAGGCTGTGCCAGGGCAGCAGCCTGGAGCTCAGCTTGCTGTGTCCCCCATTCCTCCTCAGAGCACCTTCTGGGCTGCTGTCCCTTGGTGATAGTATCACTTGTCCTGCAGCCCTGACTGCTGTTCAGCTGCTTTTGTGCAGGCAGAAGCTGATGAGAGAGACCTGGAAAGAGCACTCTGCTTTGCAACCTCTATCTGTTGGGATTCCCCTCTAAGGCCAGGCTGCCTCTTGGAGCTTCCGGTAGTTTAGAGTGAGGACCTGCTGCAAAATTTTGGATACTCTTAACCTCCATCATCTTCAAGCTTATCCTGCTTCAAAGAAATGAGGATTTGCTGTTTAAACTAACTTGGTGCAGTTCCTTCTGCTGCTGCTTCACAGATTTCAACAATGTCCCACTCTAGAGCTGTGACGGACAATCCCAAGCCTCTGAAGTGGGACACTGCTATTAAATTAATTTGTTGCTTGTTCTCTAGAGCCTGCTCCCTTTGTTTTCCCTGCCCTCTCTTCCTCCTTGTCTTTGCTGTTCAGAGCAAAGGTGTGATCCCTGGTGTTGCTCACTGCCCTCCCTGCTCCCTACACCTGGGGCCAGGGCAGGGACCTTCCCCTGGCACCCCTGGGTGTCAGGAGGGCTCCCCAGTCCCTGCTTTGCCTGTCTTACTGTAAGCTCTCTGGCTCACAGTACTGATTCCTTCACACTTGTTTGTGCCTTGTGCCCCCACCACTCTTTTGGCCATATGTGGGTTGTTGCTGTCTTCCTCCTCCTGCTGAGTGCAAAAATGGCCATGCTGCAATGGATGTGCCAGAGCTTTGGGTGAGATTCTTGGGAAACCAAGGGCTGGTGCCAGCTGGGAGGGCATTTGTGCTGCATCTGCCTTGCTGATACTTTGGCACATTAAGAGTGCACAAAGGCATCCTTGGATGGGTCTTCCTCACCCTGCCCTGCTCTCCACACCTGGCCATGTCCTTGTGCTGCTGCCCAAGAACCTTCTGTGCTTAGATTTCCAACACTGGCCTTTCCAACCCTGATGCTCTAAAAGCATTATTTTTTGTTTCTTCCCCTCCTTGGTCTGAGCCTACACTACCTGTCCTGGGCTTGGGGATCTCAGCACCAGATGTTGTGCCCTGCTGGACGCAAGGACTGAGCACTTGCTCCTTGAAAAGGATTTTTCTTCAATGCTCACTGTTCTTGTTTCACCTGATTTCCGGGTGAATGGCTTGTCTACACTTGGGTGAAAAGGTGTCACCTTGTATCTGATGTTGGTGCTTGTGCTGCTGCCTCCTGTCTTCACCTGTGAAGATGCTGTGCTCCAACAAGGGTGTCCTGAAAGAAACATGGAAAATCTCTGCCCCTTGCAGCAGCTGAAACTCCTTGGCTTCCTCCAGTGAGCCAGCCTTACTCTCAGCAGCAAAGCTGCTGGCCATAGTATTTGGAGCACAGTAGTTGGAATTATGCCTTGGAAATCAGAGTGAGCAAGGACTTGGGTAACTTCAGTCAAATGCCGGATGTGTTAAGGGGGAGGGTTTTTTTCTTGTGAGAAGGGATTTAAGGAAGGGCCCTCGCCTTTCTGACTCACTGCTGTCAGCCTGGAGCCGAGGAGAGTTTGCAACAGCGCATGGAAATGAATTTGGGATAAACAAAACCTCTGGGTCAGGTCAGAGGGGAGGAATGGAGCCTGCAGCCTAGCCTTGGGGCTCCGTGCTTGGTGTGCACCTCTGTCACCCACCTACCTCACAGGGCTGTTGTGAGGCTTCGCTGGCAAAAGCACTTGGGCTGGGCAGAAGGGCACCGGTGGCATCTGTAGCACTACCACTATTAAAAGCAAGCAGAGTGAAAGATGTTGCCTGTGCTCTTGTGTGGTGGCATCGTGCCTCTCTGGCTCTCCATCACTCCCCTGTCCTCCTGAACCACCATGAGGCATTCACCAGTCACTCACTGGCCAGTTTTGACCCCCAGTTTTAAGGGAGGAGGCTGCAGTCAGCCTTCTTGGGACAACTGAGCACAGGGTTTGAGATGCCCGCAGCAGCGCCCTGCTCCAGGAGTCACCCAGGGTCGCTAGAGACACACACACACACACCCCACTCACAACATAAGCCTCTCACTTGTAGAAGTATTTGTCTAAGTTGGGTTGCATCGAAGCAGTGCCTGTTTGTGCCAAACTTCAGCCAAGTGGCATTGCCTGGGCCCCTTTTTGTCCCCACAAGCCCTCAGCTTTGCCGTTGGCCCCACAGGGCAGAGCCAAGAGTTGGGTGGAGCAGCAACCCAGCAGTTTGGGCTTGGCCTGGAACCAGCTCCACCTGCCTGACCAAGGTGACACGGCCCCCAGAGCAAGGACATGAACATAGGACTGGCTCTGGGGAACCTGATTTCAGGACTCTGAAACAGGGTGTTTTGTTCTGAGGGTCAGTATGCATACCCTGGCTCTGTAGCACTGGAAGGAGGCTCAGATCCTGCCTGCTCCTCAATTGCATTTCAGGCACTTGTGGCTCTACCTGCCCGTCCAGGACCTTTGTTTTTAGCAGGTCAAAAGCAGCCCAGTGACAGAGAAAAGGCTGTGAGCCTGCCAGCAGCAAGACAAATTCCTCCTTCAGCTACACAGGGCTTCTCCAGTTGGGAGGAGAGTAGTAGTGACATCCAACAGGGAATTCTACACCTTGCACAGGGCTCGCCTGGCTGCAGAAACTCATGTTAGGGTGAACATCAAGCTCTTAGGAAGATATTCTGTAACCAAAGCACCTCATCTGCCCCTACATGCAGGTGGCCAGTAGCTCCAGGGCCCCATATTTCCTCTACTAGGAGGGAGAGTCATGCCCACCTAGGAACAATGTCCAAGCAGATCTGTGGCTTGGCATTACAACCCAGCAGGGCAGGAGCTGTGCTGCCAGCCTCCAGCCCAAAGGACAATGAGCTGCTTTTTTCTGAAACACTGAATTTGCAGTACTGGCTGTGCCATGCCCTCGTCAGGAGGGCTTTGGACCAGCAGCTGGGGCAAACAACAGGCAAAGGGACCAGAGAGCCAAGAGGCATGTTGTACACTTCACAAAGGATATTCACAAACCAGTGAAGACTTGTCCTGTAAAAGACCATCAGCTTTTTAGCAGTGCGGCACTCCAATGTCCTGCCCCAAGGAATACCCTTCTGGGGCACCCCCAGGCTGCTCTGCAATGAAGGGGATTCACATCCAGGAGCCTTGGCAGTTTACATCTGATTCCCTCTCCCTGCCGCAGGGCTGGCAGCTCTGCCTCTCATGTTTTAACAAAAAGCCAAGGCCTTGGAGGGGTAGAGGCGAACAGAGACCTGGCCTGCATGGCTGGGCAGCTTCAAGGCATCCCCAGGATGGTCACATCCTCATCCTAATCCTTTCAGCGTGGCAGGGGGAAGCTGACCCCTGGTCACAGTAGGATGGAGCGTATGTTTGAAATGGCTCCTTCAGGGTCCATCTTGTAGAGCATGAAGTGGCCCTGCACCTGGGCAGCGCTAATCTGTTTGGAGGCCTCCAGTGCCTGCTCTGCAAAGCGCTGGGCTGCAGCTGGCGGCTGCTCGGGGTAGAAGCGCTGGAACATGCGTGCGTGCTGCCAGCGGTAGCAATGACCCACATACTGCTTGAGATCCACACGGCCGGGCCGCACCAGTGCCGGGTCCAGCCTGCCGAGAGACACGGGTGCCTTGAGAACCTCAGCAAAGTGTCTCTCCACACTAAGCACAGCCCATCTCCTATCCTCAAAATGCTCTGCTCTGTGAGATGGTAAAGGTGGGGACAGATTTGTCCGTGGGGTCCCAAGGGAGAAAATCAATCCAAAAGAAGTGAGTGAGCTGAGGAACGGCTGGCTCCTCAGGAGGGCAAACATGCCCTGGGAAACAGCTTTGCCCATCTCTGTCCCATGAGCAACTTCTGAACAACCCTCTAGACCAGCTCAGCCCAGAGTGAGCCAAGTGCAACGTCTGGCCAGGTGCTGTGAGCCTGGGCTGCATCCTGTCCACCCAATGGGCTGCACATGGGGCTAGTGTTTCACTCACAGCACAGTCACAACCCCAAAACCTATGGGAAGGTACTGCTCCTGAAGAGCACAACCATGGTCTGAACAGCAAGGAAGCATCTGAGGCTCCAGCAAAAAGGATCCTGATTAGCAATCAAGGGATTTGCATCCCAAAGGAGGATTCAGGAAACCTGAACCCGCAATCCTCATGTGACAGACAGAAATAGCCCTCCACAAAGCCCAGCCACATTTCCCCATGCTACCCTCCCTGTTTCCTGCCAGATAGCAGCTCTGACCTGTCCACGTAGTTGGTGGTCATGAAGACAATCCTGGCCTCTGTGGAGGCCACGCCATCCAGTGCATTGAGGAGGCCGCTGAAGGTCAGGTGCCCCATGCCTTGGTACACAGTCGGGTCTGGGGACAGAAGCATCTGAGATCACACCCATTGAACACTAACCCCACAGAGTCTTGTGGACCACCTCCCTATCACCTGAGGCTTCAGACAAGCTCCTTACTCTCTCCTTGCCCCAAGGCTGACCCTCTGCCTCTCCCTAGCTGGCAGCTCACCTCTGCTCCCCACCTGAACGCATGAGAACCCA